CGGGTTCTACACATTGAACGGTTCAGATTATCAAAACGGGACCCAACACCCTCCAGTTTGATTATAGACTAGAGAAAAACCAATCTCAAAGGCAATATATCCAAATTAAGCATACTAAGCCTACATATAGTGCAACAACATATCAAAACTCAAATCTCTCTCTGCTTCATGTTAGAAATAACTCTCACTTATAATTTATGACTAGCGTGTTGGATTTATATTTGAAGAATTCTGAAATCAAGTTTGGCAATAGAAGGTGGATAAGATTTTTGGTGGAGAAGTGGATTGCAAATGTACTAATTACTATAGTACACATTTTTTTCCCCATAATAAGGTGTTTGGGTCAACTTGTGTATGTCTCGATTAATATTAAAATTTTGAAATTGACGGCCAAGCAAATCTTGAGTGGCCAGTTGGGGTCATGGACGACTCTACCCTTGAGTAGGGTATGCACTTGAACACCCTAAAAAAAATTTATTTAATAAATTAGTAATATATAAGTTAAAATTGTTCATTCTCTAAGTTTGAATACCCTATCCCACTCATTGAACACGCAGCTAACCCAATTTAGTTGGTTGAACAACACTCCACTCCATTGAACACTTAATTCATAACTCACGAACTCTTAACATAATAATGTTAGAATTATATTTTCTAATTATAATTTGTTTACTACCTTATGTGTCAATTACGTATTAGTTTAATAAATATCACTAACATGATTGTCACTAATATAGTATTAACGCATAAGATGATAAATAAAATATAATAAGAAAATGTGATCATTAATATTCTTAATATATATATATATACTAGTGTATGAGAAAATAAAAATAAAATAAAATAAAATAATTAGAGAGAAAAATAAAAATGGGAGAAAATAAAAATAAAAAATAAAAAAGAAAAGAGGGAGGAAGGTGGGATCATGAGATTATGGAAAGATTGGTGATAAAAGGAAAAGTAAGAAAGAGAAACGGGAAAGTAGAAAATGTACATGTATGATATTTTTTGAAAAATATATCTCAGTCATTGTTTTATAATTTAAACAAATCTAAGCCATCCAAATGTCTTAGTAGGACAAAAATATATCGAAGATTTAAAAACCGTTCTGTTTTATTATATAGATATGTGCGTGTATGTGTGTGTGTGAGAGAGAGAGAGAGAGACTTAATTTTATATATACAAATTCTTCTTTGTTTTTGTTTATTCTCTCCACTATATATAACTTTTTAGACAATAATTCAGTATAAAATATATATCCGTGTGTTTTATTTCTTATCTAAAATTTTATGCCTATTTTTGTTCATAATTTATTGACCAATCAAAAACTTATTTCATAACTTACTGACTCTATGAAAAACAAAAAATAAAACAAAACAAAAAACAAAAAACAAAAAGGTCTGTATCCACATTTTGGCCATGTTTGTTTTGATTTTTTGAAATTATCTTCAGATTTGTTTTTTCAAAAAAAAAATAAAATAAAAATTAGATACTAGCTTAACAAAAATAAATATCAAAAAGATATTTTTAAATTTTTAGAAATTATTTATGCCTTTCCAAAAGATAAGAATATATAAAAATGATAAATGTTTTTGAATTTTTTATTTTATTTTTTCCACGAAATTAATTTTTAATTTTTCAAGAAAAAGTTCTAACAACATATATTATGAAAATCAAACTAAACTGTTTTTTGAAACAATGATATCAATATATTAAAATTTTATTTTATTTATTATGTGTAATTTGAAAAGTCTAAATAAGTTTAAATTTTTTAATGTCTATCTTAAAAAAATTCTTAGACTTGCCACTGCTTGGGGTGTCTCAAACTTGACATTTTAGATTTTATTCTCAAATTTTTACCATTTGGTCAACCTTTTAAGTCCCAAGTTATAGTGACAAATACAAAATAAGTGAAGAAATTAGTTTAGGAACCCATGCCTTGAGCAATCTAGGGGACTTTATGGAAAACAAGAAGTGAGAAAATTGTTTAAAAAAAAATACTTGGTGGCCCGAATTTGTATGGTTCGAATGGTTCGAATGTATCAAAACGATTGTTTTATACTTAAAATGATATCGTTTTGGATGTTTTGAGCTATTCGAGCCATGAATTTTCGGACCACTTAACTGTTGGAAATGGTAGAAAAATTCTGGGTAAAACCAGAATTTTTTTTCAAGTTTGGTCTATTTTTTAGGTGGGCCCCGAGCATCGATTTATAGAGAGAAAAATAAAAATGGGAGAAAATAAAAATAAAAAATAAAAAAGAAAAGAGGGAGGAAGGTGGGATCATGAGATTATGGAAAGATGGGTGATAAAAAGAAAAGTAAGAAAGAGAAACAGAAAAGTAGAAAATGTACATGTATGATATTTTTTAAAAAATATATCTCAGTCATTGTTTTATAATTTGAACAAATCTGAGCTATCCAAATGTCTTAGTAGGATAAAAATATATCGAAGATTTAAAAACCGTTCTGTTTTATTATATAGATATGTGCGTGTATGTGTGTGTGTGAGAGAGAGAGAGAGAGACTTAATTTTATATATACAAATTCTTCTTTGTTTTTGTTTATTCTCTCCACTATATATAACTTTTTAGACAATAATTCAGTATAAAATATATATCCGTGTGTTTTATTTCTTATCTAAAATTTTATGCCTATTTTTGTTCACAATTTATTGACCAATCAAAAACTTATTTCATAACTTACTGACTCTATGAAAAACAAAAAATAAAACAAAACAAAAAACAAAAAACAAAAAGGTCTGTATCCACATTTTGGCCATGTTTGTTTTGATTTTTTGAAATTATCTTCAGATTTGTTTTTTCAAAAAAAAAATAAAATAAAAATTAGATACTAGCTTAACAAAAATAAATATCAAAAAGATATTTTTAAATTTTTAGAAATTATTTATGCCTTTCCAAAAGGTAAGAATATATAAAAATGATAAATGTTTTTGAATTTTTTATTTTATTTTTTCCACGAAATTAATTTTTAATTTTTCAAGAAAAAGTTCTAACAACATATATTCTGAAAATCAAACTAAACTGTTTTTTGAAACAATGATATCAATATATTAAAATTTTATTTATTTATTATGTGTAATTTGAAAAGTCTAAATAAGTTTAAATTTTTTAATGTCTATCTTAAAAAAATTCTTAGAGTTGCCACTCCTTGGGGTGTCTCAAACTTGACATTTTAGATTTTATTGTTTTAAGTCCCGAGTTATAGTGACAAATACAAAATAAGTGAAGAAATTAGTTTAGGAAGCCATGCCTTGAGCAATCTAGGGGACTTTATGGAAAACAAGAAGTGAGAAAATTGTTTAAAGAAAAATACTTTGTGACCCGAATTTGTGTGGTTCGAATGGTTCGAATGTATCAAAACGATATCATTTTACACTTAAAACGATATCGTTTTGAATGTTTCGAGTCATTCGAACCATGAATTTTCGGACCACCTAACATTGTTATTGTTGAAAATAGACAAACAGTGTGGTGCGAGGTGGAGGAGTTGGTTAAAGTCAGAATTGCATATTGGGTGAAATCAAAGGCAAGGATCAATGAATACCCCTGTTACTGATTTATGTGTCCCTTGGAAGGTGTCTGCAATATGAAGATCCCAAAGTATAAGAGAGATGTAGGATGAAATATTTTAGGAACCATTTCTTGGAATTGGGAGCTCTTTGGAAATGTTTGTACCAGTTTGATTTTTGTAATTTTAATTGATTTAATTTTGATCATAAATTTATAATTTTATCTCAATTTGATCAAATTGATTTCAATTGTTAGCATTTTTTTTAATGAAAAATATGTAAATAAACGACATGCAACATACTTTTAGGGGGAAAGTTATAAAATTTCTCAACTCGATGAGTTAACCTCAACCAACTTAACGATCATTTCCGTCAAAAATTCTTAACAATTTTATTAATTGGGCAAAATTGACATAAAATCTAAAATTAAGAATCAAAATTGAATCAATTAAAAACATAAAAATCAAAAAAACATAACGAACAAAATATAAAGATTACTAATTTAATTCGTCTTTTTAATTTTGTTTATGATGGGTGGCTGAGGATTCTCTCCCTCGTAAGGATTGTTTTGCCTCAAAGTTTTTGATATTGAGCCACATGAGTATTGACAAATCAAATCCCAACTTTATCATCCACATGCTAGGCAAAGTATAATGAAATGGTTGGTTTTTTACAAAGCCAAATTAAAATTTAAAACAACTTGATTGAGAACCAGCGTGGCTAGTTACAAGTCTCATTTTGATGATTTGAATTCTTTATTTTATCAGGTTTTCAGTATTCATTATCTATGAAAAAAATTAAATTGATCTAATAATTATAATCTTTTCATTTTGTCATGTTTGTTTAAAAAAAAAATGAATGATTTATTTTAAAAAATATATCAATCTAATTTGTTTTTATGTATGATATATATATACAAAGACTCTTATAAAATGAACAATTTGAATCATCGAAATGAAATCTATGGTGAATCTCACGAACGTCTCAAATTTTTCCAAGTTCAAATTTCAACTTGACTCATAATAAAAATCAAAATGGACCATTCTATAAACAAATTTTAATAACCAAAAATTAATGTTAAATAACTTCAATTTATTCAAGCTCAATAGCCATAATGTGCTACTAAGAAAAATAAAATGTAGTACTACTATTCTAAGGCTTTGTTTGGTTCATAAATTTACCTATTTTTGGTTTGAGGATTTGGTGAGAGATTTGGAAAGAAAAAGAGAAAAAGTATATAAAAAAATGTAAATATATTTTATTCACATATTACTTCCTTTTTCCCTTTTCTTTTCTAAATCTCTCCTCAAATTTTTCAATCAAACACAGCGTTAGAAAGAGGTTTAAAAAAAGAAAAGAAAAATGAGCGTGTGAAGTGTAATTATATTTCATTCACGTTTCACCTATGTTTTCTTTTTCTCTTTTCAAATCCATCCACAAATTCATAAACCAAATACAACCTAAAAAGTTAAGAAAAACAATTGTATAAATTGATTTTTATTTCCATTTAGCTAGCAAATGAATCAACAACCTGCCATTCGTAGATTGTTTGCATCCTAATCCTAACTACCTTCAATGCAAGAATACCACTAAATTGGCATCGCATCACACTTATTGCCGCTTCTTACTGAATGCAACGCCTGGGTTCGACTCTCATCGCTGACAAGCATTACCCCTCCTTATTACCCCCTTCCAAAAAGCCAAAAAAAAAAAAAAATTCCCTAAACTATTGGCTTGTTTTGTTGGTCCCATGACTTCCAACAGGCAAAGTGTTCGGACATCCATCGAAAGGACTGTGTTCCATTATTAGCAGCAGTTGTTGCTTCACCAACCGCGGAGGCCTTGAAATCCTTCCAACCGCGCAGGATAGCCATAAGATCAGAGACCTTGGCACTAATACTCCGACAACAGTTAGCATGGACAGTCGTCACTGCTTGGATATCTTTTCTTTTACTGCAAAACCCATTAAAATAGAGGGTGTCCAAGATCCTCACGCGGAGCCCTAACCGTCCAAACACGCCCTCATTTCTCAATCGTACCAAAACATCCTGCTCTTTCATGCCTGTAGAATTGTCTTTCATAGCATACCATGTCTCAAACAGTGAAATTGTCTTGTTGTTTGATCTGATATAGTAAAAGCCAGTGTTGATCAAGTCTTTTGAGAATGGACTGTCAAAAACATCAGTACTTATTTGCAGATCATCCACTGTTCTATTTGTCATGAGCCTTGGAAATGGATTCCTAAGCCACATTATATCTGTATCCTGTCAATATAAATATGAAGTCACATGAACTATACTCATTAGGTAATTTCAATATTTATGTTTATTTTGCCAAAAGCTAAGGGAAATTTACCCATAAATCCCATATGTTAGTCTTATGATCCAATTGGTTCCATTTATTTTCTAATGGTCTGTTTAGTCATATGTTAGTCTTATGATCCAATTAGTCCCATTTATTTTCTAATGGTCTGTTTAGTGTGAAAGGACGTAAATGCCACTAATGTGAAGTCTAAAATATGTGTTGACGTCTCTTTTTTTTTTTTCTTTTTCTTTTTTTTTTTTTGCATGGGAGGTGTCAAAATCTCTCAACTTCTAATTTTTTGAAATTCATTTTAATTTATAGATTTTGAATTCAATTATACAATTTATAATGTTATTTTTTTGAAATAAAATGATCATATGTGCACACGTGTACCATCACTTCTAATATTATATAAAGGTAATATCTAAGTTGATACAGACAATGTAATTTTTTTTTTCCCAAAATGCCCATAATAGTAGTAACAAAAAAACAAGGGCAGTTATCTATCATCTGCTTTAATTGTAAATTTCATAGCACATACATGAACTTCTCAAGTGCACATGTTATTGCTCCGTGTTTTGTATTTTACTAGACTCATACAACTAGGATTTTACGTGTATTGGGGTTGGTATACATAGGTTTTATTAATTGTATGAGACAAGAGTTTCTAAAGATAATATAATTAGATGCAAAAAACATAAATATATAATCTATGTAGACATCAAATATTCTACTAAATACTCACATAGGTGCAATGCAAGACTCATAGATTTTATGTAATGTAGGCCTCACACCATATAAGTATTGTGCAAAATATTTATTGATTTATTTAAAATCCGTAACGTTGCTCAACAATCTATATAGATAATCTAAATAGACAACTAGATAATCTCTATAGAAACTCCTTTCTCCTCCTCACTTGCTTCACCTTAATTATTAATTGAATAAGTAAAAGTTCTGTCTTAGTTGGAATGGGGATAACTGGTACACCTCATACTCAATCTAATCAGGTTTTTAATGCAGGTGGAGGAAAATTATTCACTTTATCAATTCTTTTATATGAACATAAATTGATTACATAATCGAATACGATTATCTTACATGAATGTAAAACTCACGAAGAAAATAAAATTTATTTTAAGATTGTGTTATCAATTTTTATACTTAAAATTTTTGTTTCACTCCAATAACGTGGAACCCACACCAATAAAAGGTGTGGATGCTGTGGCTGGAATGCCAAGGCATGGAATAACTTCACAGTAGAAGCGAAAAAAGTCCTGGAGGGAGAGCATGAAAACAATAGGTGGGGAGAGAGAGAACATGAAAACAAGAGGTGGGATGGGTAAATTGGAAAGGCATTTTGTCAATTTAGGTAAACGATAGTCCAATTGTAAGCCACAAATTGACAACTCTCACAATCACAGTGTCGTCATTGAGTTGTACATGAAAATAACACCAACAAAAAAGTCGAGGGTCACTCACAAAATTTGAGAAAAGTAGAAATAGTTCATACTTTGAAATAGTTGTACTCTTTTTTCAATAAAGTTGAAGTAGCTGACATTATTAGAATGGTAGATGAATGCTGAAATAAATAAAAATATATGTTTTTTTTTTTGTAAAAATATATGATAATATTATATTTTTTCATTCGTATGATTAATAAATTATTGATAAAAAATACTTTAATACTGTGTTTGGTTGAGGGATTTTGAGAGGAATTTAGAAAGGGAAAGGAAAAAAGTGTGTGAAATGTAGGTATATTTTATTCACATTTTACCTAACTTTTTCCTTTCTCTTTCCAAATCCCTCTTTAAATCCTCCAACCAAACACAGTGTAATTGTTATGTGAATTAAAAATTCAAGAGAGACCAATATAATTATGTCAAAAGTGTGCTACTAACTATATTTTTTTTTTTAAAATCTCGAAAGAGGTGAGTATGATTTCCCCTAGAATTTTTTTTATTAAGTAGTTACTAAAGCACCTTATAAGATTATTTATGTAGTGTTCCAGATCAAAAACACAGTACAAAATTTTATCAATAAAACATGCTGATTCATCTTATTAGATAGTTGAAAGGTAAATAATAATTCACTTGTGTGTTGTAATTTTTTATTTATCAAAATTATTATGTAAACAATACCATAAGATACTGTAAATATATTTAATAATTTTCTGACAAAAGGAAAGTACATAGAAAGACAGAAAACATTCACCTACCATTCTTAAGTCGAAATGTCAAAAAAAAACAAAGAAAAGTACACTAATTTTGGAGTACATTTTCCAAGTAAATGTTTTGTGTCTCGGCATTTTAAGTTTTAATTTTTTTCAATTTTATTCTTTTTCTTTTTTAAAAATTTGAGTCAAATTACTCAAATCTCAAATCGGTGATCTCAATAATAAAAAACACATATGATTCATAAAATATTTATTTTATATTGGTGTGGTCCCTAGGTTTTGTAATTATCATTGTAGTCCTCAAATTTGTAAATTTTTTTCAATTTTGTCCATTTTACCTATATGAAGAAGACAAAACATAGCCTTATAATGTACAAAATTGACAAAATTAAAAAGTTTGTGAATCAAATAGACACGAAACCTATATTTTAAAAATCATGTGTCTTTTTATTATATTTTGTTAATGATTTAGGTTTTTATTTAAAATTGGGTCAATTTGACTCAAATTTAAATTTAAAGATGATATTGATAAAATTGGATTTTAAAAAAGTTGCTCAAGGTGTCAAATGATGCAAGTTATTTTATTTTTATTTTTTTTTTCACTCAATTGGAGAATATTTACAATTATGAAGAGAATTACATTTAAACATTTATAATGCAGCAATTATAAAAGAGATTTTTAGTTTAAGATCCCTAATATTAAAATTTTATAAGATAAAGGACATGTAACATTTTTATAATAGTTAGTGTCTCTCAATATTTTCATAGCAAAATTTTGACAGAGAGAAATTTCTCTTTACAAAGAAATTTCAACTCTTCGAAGAGAAATTCTAACTTGTCATGAATTTCTCTACGATGAATTGAAATTTCTCTAATAATATTATTGAGAGACATTAACTAATAAGAAAAAAACATATTGAACCTCTATTACTATCAAAAGTTAAAGAGAGACATTTTACTAATTTTCTCATTATAAAAAAGCCTCAAAACAAAAAATAAAATAAAATACAACCAAACTAATCTGTATATTATTGTATAAAGTGTGGAATCTATTTAGACTGGTCACTTTGTCACAAACTCTTTATCTTTTTCTTTTTTTTTCCCCCTTCAAATGTTGGTCCTTGATTTTGCTAAACACTATTTTCAGATCTAACTTCCTCTAACTTGGTAACTGCTATTATTTATCAAACTAATTTACGCATTCAAGTATACAAAGTGACCAACTTAACTAAGCTATGGTTAGTTCAAATGATGCAAGTTAAAACACTAACAAACTATTCTGAAAGTAACTTTAATTTTTTTTCAAAACAGTTTTTACAATTATTTTAAACCATTGTTAGTTACCATCTATTGTTTCGACAACGGCACTAAGGAAATTTCTTTTGACAAACTAAATAATCTCAATATACACTATTTATATAGTTTAGATATAAATTTTTAAATAAAATTCAAATGTTTAGACATAAATTTTGGAACAAAAAATAGGTGTTTGAACATACACTATCAAATGGAATTTATATTTGTACAATTCATTTATTTCCAAAAATTCATGTCTAAACATTTAGTTTTTAATCTAAAATTTATATCCCAACAACATAAATATTATACATTGAAATTTTATGAAACATGCAAATATAATTTGGCCTTCGTTTGAGATGTGGGTTAGCTTTTAGCTTTTTAGCTTTTTGACTATTTTAGCTTATGGCTAAAAAGTCTCGTTTTCGATAGACTTTTTGGCTTTTTGACTTTTGTGAGAGAAAAAATGAAATAATTTTGGTTTGGATATGATGTTTTGTTTTATTGACTTTTTAATCTATTTTGTATTTTTATAACTATTTTAGCCTAAACTTTTTATGCCAAACAAAGCCTTATTCTAGAACTAAAACCACATGATTATATATATATAGTAACTTGATGTATACACAAATTAGTTAAGCCCTTAATTTAGTAGATTAACATATAGAGCTCAAGACGTATCACCACTTAGGAGTGTGCATGATGTGCTTTGAACGGTTTAAGAATAAAATTATAAATTAAATAGTAGATTGACAAATTGACAAATAACAAACTCATGATTTGAGTAGTTTGGGGAAATTATTCGAGGAATTATTCGATCTTATAAGAATTTTAATTAAGCTGGGTGCCTTTGCAATTCTATTCATTATTTTATATAATACATACAACAAAAAATAAGAAATAATAAATATGTAACTAATAGTAGAATTGTAATGGTATATTATGTAAAATATAAGACCAATGTGATAATTTTTCCCGTATTAGAGGTACCGTACCGTGAAGATGAAATTATAACCACGCTTGAGCACATCCAATAGGAAGAGAGTTCTCCTCCACATCATCTTGATGAACTCATCCGACATGTACACCTTCTCTCCAGTGAAATCCACACCTTCCGTTCCCAATTTGTAACAGTGCAATCTTCTGAACTCGCACCGATCGTACGCTGTCTGATCCACCGCAACGAATAACAAATGATCAATCAACGGCCTAGTTTCCTCGCCCAACCAAAAGCTTTCTAGAAAAAGATCAAGCATTGAAGGGTACGTGTCGTCGTGTGATTCCGCGTAAGCTTTGTTGACTACAGTGATGATCACTGTCTTGTTGGCCATTGAAGCTCTGCTTAAAGCTGCTTCAAGCTTATCTGTTGGGACACTCTGGAACAAAGAGAAAGAAACAACAATTTTATGTGTTTATAAACTCAAAAGATACAATCATGTTTTCAAATAACAGTATTGGAAGACGTAGGAGTCATGGTGAAATGGTATTGAGACGAAGAATTAGAAATCAAAATGAAAAACCCAAAATATATAGTAGTTAAATTGATCGTATCAATGGATTATGAATCAATATATATTAGGAACTGACCGATAAGTGTGATTTTTGTTTCAACTAGTGGATAGGACTTAGATAATCTGTCTTTTTTTCTCTACCATGATTTCGTTGTGATTACATGTCGACAAAAGAAAAAATTTAATACTTCAAGTTTAAAATTAAAATAAACTAGTTTTATAACACTATCTTTTTTTTTTTATTTTAAACAAAACATCCTAAAAATGCCAAAAGACACTTTTTTGTTTCAATTTTAAACATCCATAGTTAGATTATCACAACAAGATCATTACATCATGATCCTGATCTATCGAAATGACAAAAATATCGATGGATATGTATCGGGAGATAGATACAAAAGTGTGACTGTGAAATTGAAACTAATGTAAGAAGATAAATTAAAGAAGTGATAGTTACCGAGTATGATGGAGGAGAAGGGTTGGTTTGGATTGAAATTAAGGATTTGGAGATGGGTTGAGTCCAGATGCAGAGATAGATGATGGCAAAGAAGATTAGAGAGAGAATTGATAGATTGGCAACCACTGTACTCATGGTGTAAACTATGTTTTATTGCTGCTTTAACTGAAACTTTTGAGGGATACTATTAGTAAAGATAAGGAATATATTGAAGTCGATAACTTCACAAAAAGAGAGTGCTTTGCCGTTGTGAGTAGGGAGATCATGCAAAACATCTGAAGTTTTGAGGCATTATTGTTTTGGAAAACTGTATTTATATTGAGGCACTATTGATTTGGAAAACTATATTTATATTTCGCTTTTAAAGTAAAAGTTCACATTGAGTCATATCACCTTCATTTAGGTCAAGTTTGACAAGTTAAAAAAAAGGTTAAAAAGTCAAAAAATTATTTAAAAAGTCAAAAAGTTATCATTATTTACTAAAAATCAAAAATTATAATTGTACAACTCTCAATCCTAATTTTCTCCTACACACTAATTTATACAATTTTTTAATACACATTTTTCCATAAAAAGTCAAAAAGTTAACCCAAACATCCATATTTTTTTCGTCAATTTTTTAGTCCAAAAAGACAAAAAAGTGTACTTATTTAGGACACCCCAAACAAGCTCTTAATTTTGAATTTTACAAAATAGTTTTTGAGTTCTTAATTTTTTTGTTTTTTTTTTTAATTTTTAGTGAATTTTTATTTTTATTTTTTTTGTTTAATTTCTTTTTTTTTTTAATGGACACAACCTAATATAAATATATTTAAAAATTAAAAAAATTTTGTGAACATATTATAAAGAATTCAATAAAGACAATATATATATATATATATATTTGGTTATATCTAGTGAATTTTTTAAAGTTTTTTTTTTCCCACAAATTTTGTATTTATTAAGCGTGTAGATTAAGTAGATCTAAAAACTAAAAAAAAATGATTAAAATATTTTTAAAAATTCATGGAAAATCAAACAATAAATATTGAAAACTTGAAAATTATTTTTGAAAATCCAAAATCAAATATTGATTTGTATTTCATTACTCTATTATTATTGAATTTAGAGTAGTACTAATACAAACATAAAATTCATGCAAAGAATTAATATAGAGTGACATGATAAATTTTAGGAAAAATTATCAGAAAGTCCTATGTACCAAACTGTTACTCTTTATGGTCCTAAATTTAATCTTTTTGATTGACAAGTCCTATTTTACACGTTTGGTAGACAACTAAGTCCCATTTCAAATTGTGTGAGGTGTGGGGAGACTGATTTGCCCTTTTTTGTTATGGCATGTACGTCTATTATGGGATTCATTGAATATTTTGTGGGATACGTTGCTCTGTCACGTTGGTAAGTTGGATCCTATGTTTTGGGGTGTGATAATTTCGTGGGTCGGGCTAAAGGCTTATTGTGAGTTAGCAAAGTAGGGATTCTTGCTGGTGGTGAGAGCTGTGTGCAGTCGTCAACATTGGTTATCATTGCAGGTACATAATACGTTTATATCTTTTTCATAGTTAACACGCCATTGCCCTGCAGATGACCTGTGCCCATGACCACGTTTTTACGTCCTTCGCACTGTCCACATTTGTTATATTTATGTTTCATTGTGATGTATCTGCCTCTGATTTTTATTCCCCCCTACACCGTTCCTGCGGGGTGAGAGGATTCAGATTTTTTTTAGTTCATTATTGTATTGATTTTGTTAGTACTTTTTTTGGTTTTGTTACATGTATAACATGTGTTTTCACCCATGTCAGTGTGTGCTCGACGGTCTGGAAGGGAGATTGATGTTGTTGTGTTCTTATCGTAACATTAATGCAGCCTACAATCTCCGGGATCATGGCACGTTTGCCGAATTAGTTGATTTTCTGTGTTCCAAGTTCAGCGGGATAGGTCCTCATAATGTGGGATTGTCGTACAACATTCCAGGTTTGAGCAGTTTTACTTTACAAGATGATGTTGATTTGAAAAACCTTGGTAGTCTTGCCCGATCGTTCGGGTTGCAACACGCTTGTGTGTTGGTTGATCAGCATAGAAGGTTGGATAGTGAAAGTGCGGCCACCGAACAACATAATATGCAACCCAACCCAATGTCCAGAATAATCGTTAATGACCAAGGACAAAGTGATGACGAGGTCGATTTGTTGCTTGATTTCTGCCCCCACAAAAACAAAGTACTACTGACTGAATCATGGGCGCGGGGGTTAACCCATGTCGGTCAATGCTTTGAGGGGGGTGCACACGAATTTCGTACAGTTTTGTGCAAGTACGCCGTGGAGCTCGGGTTCAATTTCAGATATGTTAAGAACGATTCCGTACGGGTCATAGCAGTCTGCTCCATGTTGGAGGATAAGGGATGAACGTGGTCTGTACATGCTCGGGTGTTGAAAGCGAATCAATTTTTCTACATTCGCAAATTGAACAGTGTGCATAGTTGCGGTGTATCCGTCCGGACATCAAATCATCCAAGGGTTGGATCTGATATGGTTGCTGACATTATCGCAGCTCGTGTTCGGGACAGACCACTCACACGTCCAACTGATGTCGTCTTAGATTTGAAAGACGATGTCATAGCAGTCTGCTCCATGTTGGAGGATAAGGGATGCACGTGGTCTGTACATGCTCGGGTGTTGAAAGCGAATCAATTTTTCTACATTCGCAAATTGAACAGTGTGCATAGTTGTGGTGTATCCGTCCGGACATCAAATCATCCAAGGGTTGGATCTGATATGGTTGCTGACATTATCACAGCTCGTGTTCGGGACAGACCACTCACACATCCAACTAATGTCGTCTTAGATTTGAAAGATGATTATGGGTTGGACGTCAACTACCGAGTTGTGTGGTTAGGCGTTGAGAAGGCAAGGAGGGAATTGTTCGGTGCCCATTCCGTATCATTCGACCAATTGCGTTGGTATCGTGAAGCCATCATGCAATACAATCCTGGGAGTTATGTTGACATTGATTACGATGAACACAACTACCGGTTCCGCTATTTTTTTATTTCGTTCAAAGCATGCATTGATGGGTTTCGTCATTGTCATCCATTACTTTTCCTCGACGGAACCTTCTTGAAAGGCAGGTTCAAAGGGTTTTTCCTAGCTGCCACCGCGAAAGACAGTAATCAAGGTGTGACCCATTTAAATTTCAAAACAATTTTCTTTTATGGTTTGATATATTGTACACGCTGCTCATATTCTCATCATTTATAATAGGTTTGTTCCCTCTTGCTTATGCCATTGTGGACTCTGAAAACAACATGAATTGGGGTTGGTTCTTACAACATCTTGCCAACGTGGTACCCAGTGACAGGACACTCACGTTCGTGTCTGACCGAAACGTGGGACTTAGTGGGACTTGTGGAAGCAATGCCTACATTTTTCCCTACATCTCACCACGCATTCTGCCTCCAACATTTACAGAGAAATCTACGGGACAAACTACGTTATGTGAACAGCATGCATTGGATTGGGGTTGTCAGCAAATTCCGTAAGTGTGCATACGCACCCACCATAACAATATTTAATCAAAAGGCCAACGACTTCCAAAAATCTGGAAAAGCCATTGCCACAAAATTCCTTGCGGATGCACATCCACAACACTGGGCGAACGCATTTTTCAGGTATGGATATTTCCGTTACGCGACGCAAATGTGAACATACCCAACAACAAACGAGCATGTTTCATTCTTTACAATTTTTCCCCTTCGGCTTTGCAGAGGTAGACGATACGGCGAAATGAGCTCCAATGCCGCCGAGTCATTCAACTCTTGGATTCGCGAAGCACGAAATTTACCAATCACCAGAATGGTTGACAACAATAGAGGTCAGATTATGCGACAAATGGCGAAGCGGAGGTTGTCGGCCCACACATGGACAGGCGCAATTTGTCCCACAATGGAATTCCGCTTGGAAGAAGCTTACAACAAAAGTCGGTCATGGAAAGTGAGTCAGGCGAATAACGACGTGTACGAGGTCCATTCATTCCCATCTGTTATGATGGACATTGCCACCCGTACATGTTCGTGTTTTCAGTGGAAAATAAATGAGTTCCCATGTGCGCATGATATTGTCTCAGTGCGAAAAAGCAGGAAAAACCTTGATGACATAGTCGTACCTTGGTACCATGTGTCCGAATACCGTCTGACGTATGCACCCACCATCTACCCAATACCAACAGTTGAAAAACCACCATTCAACCCCACTGACTACGTCATTTGCCCACCAAACGTCAAATGTCCACCCAGGAGGCCGAAGAAGAAGAGAATACCGTCTAAAGGTGAGAATGTGCAACAAATACGGTGTGGAAGGTGTGGTCGTATGGGAAACCACAACAGGAAGACTTGCAAAGAACCTATTTAGACGTAATCCCAATACGTCCGACATCCCAATTTATATTTAGTACGTTTTAAGTAGTTGTGTACTTCGTGCATACCATTAAGTAAGAATATGATAGTCACATACGGTTTAGTATTTTAATAACTTATTAGATGAATGTTTGTGTTCGCCTATAAGTACAACTGGCTTACAGTTTTTGTTATGTTTTATTTTTTTTCTCAAATATATTCTACGTACCTTTGCTTAAGCCATATTTTAATTTTATGAAAGTTTTTGTGTTTCAACACATGAATGCAGACCCTGCCTACATGTACTGTGTGCGTAAGTTTACTTACATATAAACGTACACACAACGAAAAAATTATGAAAACGTGGCCTCCCTAACTTCAATAAGCAGTTAACGAAACTCTCATTCACACCACACACCCCCACATCAACATCACCACCGTCGACGCTAACTACTTATAATTTACCAAACGCATACTTATCATCGTACTACATATACATTAAGTCAAATAACAGCATCCCACATCACACTAAACGCATCATGCAGATAGTCAATCCCTTAAACTCATTGACACCTAACTGATGTTCACTCAACAGAATGGACTGGAATGTGTGGCTTATTTAACTAGTAAACCAATGTCAATCTGCTTTGGTTGACACATTACCCATCAACCAGTAACATTCTAGTTTCATACACTTGTATACCTTCGAGTCACTCACAACTTTTTGTATCGTACATGACATCCCATAATGCGAAAAATACACAACTATGTAACTTACGTACAACATACATCCCACATAAAAACTGATGCCTCCCTAACTCCAATTAACAGTTACTAGAACACCCATTTACACCACACTCCAGCAAATTAACATCACCACTGTTGCCAATAACAAATTATAATATGCCACCCGTGTACTCAAAGTCGTACGACATACACACTACCTCAAATAACAGTATCCCACATCACTCTAAAACCCTATCATGCATATTTTTAACCCCTTCCACTCATGCACACCTGACTGATGTTCATGCATATCTCAGAGAAATAAAACAATCAACATACTTTGCAGACAAGCACATCATTCATCACAATACGCATATATTACACAGAATTGCAAGCAAAACATATCATAATATTTCCCCAAAAAATATTCCAGCTAACTTCAGACAGAATGTTGTGCACGCCCGTCACCCGTTAATTCACGACCAACCATCCACCAAACTAAACTACCAATATGAACAAACCATAATCTGTGCTAAATAATATAATGTGCATAACCCAAAAGATAAACATCTGCGCATCATAGCGTACACAATCTGGAAAACCCACATTCTAGCTTCCTAATATTATACCCAAAAATAATTGTATGTGCGCCCTTACACAATGTGAACACGTCATATGTGCGTAACCCTCACTCAATCCAGATCGTTCTTCAATCCACGCAGCGGGTCATTCACAAAAGACTTCACCATGATCGCCCGCAACACACTGCAGTCGCCCCCATGTAGCGATCTTCTAACTTCCACATGGCGCACATACTGGTGCATCACAGCACACACAATGATAGCACAGTCAAGCCTGTCCAATAATTTCACATCACATGTTATTAATGTCATAAGTACAAATAAAGACAATTCATGTACTGTACCAGGGTTTGTCGTTAAGAAAATTAACATGTGCTTACGATTCGGGACGTTGTTGTGGATAGTTCGCAACTGACTCTAACGGTGGGTCATAGTCCTGGGTATCAATCGACTCATTTCCAATGGTCTGCCTCTGCACCTCTGACACAATGTCTTTCTACACCACCGCATACATAAGTCAACCAATACAGTTGTCATGTGGACACACACACCCATACAATTTAACATGTTCAAATCTTACCAGGGAAAGTGCCTCCATGTAGTGTACGTCTACAATTCCGTTCCTTGGCCTCATCGAGTTAAAATGCTTCCAACTCCCATCCTCAGTGTCATACACGACCAGCGTCTAGTGTGAGTCTTTGCAAAGTGGGAAATGTACGTAACGGAAGAGCTTAGCTGCACGCAGGTTGTCCAACACATACATATTCCTTGACCGTACGTTGTTGTTCTTCATCATGTCCTGCATCACCATGAAAACAAGTTACACATTTTGAAATCCCATAACCAAAAATAACATTTACAGCCAAAAACTTACTAGACATATACTACTGAAGAAATAAGATTTGTCTGCAGCATCAATGCCCTCATTCATCCTCTCCTGCTCAGCATTTAGCAGCACAGCATATGCATCGATCACCAGTGACATGTTTACATGTTAGATTCTTGCATGGTTAGGAAAAAAAAAACCAAAAAATAAAAAACACATTGCATAAATACCCATCTATGCGACTTACATTCCCCCGTATCTCAGATTGACGCACAAGTGATTTCACATCGGTGAAATACACAGCAACACCATGACCCTGCCCATCCCACATCACAGCACTGCATACAACACACAACACACGTCATCACACAAAAAAACGTATTACATTAGCAACAATAAACCTAAACACTTACTCTGTACATACCTATCACCATCACTATTGTACGCGTCGGTTACCTTCTTCTTCTCCGCAGCTGTCATCATTTTCCACACCGCGTGTCTGTTGTTAATGTCAAATCCTGACTTCTTCTTTGGTTTTACGTCAACATCATCCACCTCAATTACATCCGTGCACCCAGTATTACTGGCATTGCAGACTACATTACTCATGGATGAAGGAAGATGCACCACGTTCAATTTGCTCATCTGCCCACTTACACCCACACACTCAACCCCCGTTAGTGTAAACCCCTTCCTTTCTTTGCGTTTGACATCCCACATAAAAGAACTTTTCCCAACATTCAACCTACCACCTTCTGCCATGTTTGGACTGATAATCACCACCTCTGTTCCAGGCATTACACCATGCTGCATTTCACTAACACTGTTTGTTTGTTCCCTTACCGGTGTGACATCCCAAACTGGAACTGCATCCCCATTTACTGCAAACACTCTGTTGGGGGTGGCATTGTTTGTTAGGTCTGCAACATGTTCGTTTCCACTCAAACCATAATTCACACCTTCTACATTCACGTCTACATGACGAAAAGCTTGTGTCACGTTATGGACTTCGCACCCCGCAAGCTGATCCTCCAAAACATTGATTGCCCTTTGCAATTCAGCATTTTGAGTGTTGAGTTTCTTCACCTCATCGTCCTTTGCTTGCATCAAGCTTTCAAAACCTCCAACAAGATGCAACGTTTGCACCTCATTCGCCTGCCTCAGTCTGTCCTCTTCTGCACGCAACTCTGAAATCACAATGTCTTTCTCGTTGATTTGCATTTCAAGCTCCACAATTTTCTCTGTAGCGTAGCAACCCTCTGTTCCAGCCATTACACCATGCTGCATTCCACTGACACTGTTTGTTTGTTCCCTTACCGGCGTAACATCCCAAACCGGAACTGCATCCCCGGTTACTGCAAACACTCTGTTAGGGGTGGTATTGTTTGTAAGGTCTGTAACATGTTCGTTCCCACTCAACCCATACTTCACACTTTATACATTCACGTCTACACCACCGAATGCTTGTGTCACGTTATGGACTTCGCGCTCAGTAAGCTGATCCTCTAAAACATTGACTACCCTTTGCAATTCAGCATTTTCAATGGTGAGTTTCTTCACCTCATCGTCCTTAGCTTGCATTAAGCTACCAAAACCTCTAACAAGATGCAACGTTTGCACCTCATTCGCCTGCCTCAGTCTGTCCACTTCTGCACGCAACTCTGAAATCACAATGTCTTTCTCGTTGATTTGCATTTCAAGCTCCACAATTTTCTCTGTAGCGTAGCAAACGTGTATCCCAACATCCATTACGTGCTTGCCTGCGTTTCGTGGAACATCCCTGGTTGGTGTCTGAAAACGGACCAAAGACGAACCCCTTTCTACATTTCTACCATAAATTCCTCTGTCCATACCCTCCACATTACCATCCACTCCCATATCAACAAAATCATCCTCATGCACACCACCACTGAATTCCTCAATTGCATTTCCAACACTCCTACCGCAGTTTACCCCATCCACCTCAAAAAACTTAACTTCGTAGTCTTTCTTCATCAATAGTCCAGCATTCACCTGTAAACACAACATAACAAATATATGAACAATTATGAAACGATGTCCCGTATAATACAATCATAACTACAATTTACTATTACCTGAAAATCCACATGCCTTGATAGTTTGACCCCATGTGCCGTTATTACTAATGTGATAACATCCCACTTTAGGAACCTGGGAAACGCGACTGTAGATTTCGGTGATATGATCGTTGAATGTTCACAGAGCCAGTACTGTACCCCACATCACACACAACAAGTAATACGATCCATATTAGCTATATGACTACACCGTGTACAACATATAACAAATCACTTGCAATTAATGGCACACCCAGAGGAAAAAAAAAGAAGCAAACTTACAATCAATGCGACGACACATCCGGTGACTTTTTCAGGTGTTCGATAAAATTCCCTCACTAAACTCATTAACGAGCTACATATTGCCCCCGTCCAATCGTAGGTTTTCATTGCATCCAAATTATCCACATACCGAATTAGAGCCCAGCTGATTGTTTCCCCAGAATTTGAGAAGAATAATTTCCCACAAGCATATAAACATAGCAACTTCACAGTGTCTTCCATATCACGAGCAGTGCTGCCCTCCGCAGCTTCGACTAGTAGGGTCCGTATCAGTTTTGAGGTTATTCAACTAGTGTTAATACACCTACGTTGTACGAAATCTGACGGTGGCTTAGGTCGGGGGGTCAAATCAAGGCAACCAAACCCACATTGTATCCCAAATGTTAATTTGATGTCTTCATCGCTTACGCACACGCTTCGTCCTCCAATGCGAAACATCCTGTCCCGCGCATTGTACGCCCGGATGATATTTACCACCAAGTCGTCCCCTTTGCGGAAGTTCGCATGGTCAAGTTGATTTACC